ATCATTCCTCTCCTGATTTATTTCATGCTGAGGCCTATTACGATGAAGTGTACAATACATTTCACTATCAATGTTACATTTGGATAGACAAGATGATGATGTAACCTCTAATGCAATAACTTGCTGTGTTTGCAATTTTTCACAAAAGTTACGATCACTGAGATATTCTTTGTAATTATCTGTGGTTTTTGCTGTCTTCAGTAGTGCTGTTGTTCTTCTTTTTTTTTTTTGACTGTAAAACAACGGCCTAGTTTACAAATTACATCTTGTGGACAAGTTATGTAATGCAACAACGATTCAAAGCACATGTGCAAGCTGCTTATACATTGTTTGCATATAAAAATAAACCCATAGGAAGCTCTAAAAACAACTTTGTGTGCCAAAAACTGTATAAACAAATTTGTCTTCTGTCCCCTGTCAGGTCAGGTGCGTATTCACTACAGGAAGAAAACAGTTTTGCTATTAAAGTCAGCAGCACAACAGTCAAGCGTTGTACTGCATGTAGTAATATAAAGAAACTATAATCTAATGTTGAAGACATACTGTAGGTGAACAAACCCAGCAAACATTTTTGTGTTTAATAGACTTCTAATAGACTTCTAAATGTAGACAGCTTGGCGAAAACGAGGCTAAACTTGGGCTGTCGGTGGAAATCTAAGAGACATCTAAGAATAAGAACCCAAAACTAGACTAGTCGTCAAATAGACAGATTACACAGACTTTATATAGTCATTCATTTCTGTTTATTTGTTTTGCCCAAATTTATAGCCAAGATTACTATGTTTAGACGTCTATTAGACATCTATTAGACATCTTTTAAAAAATGTATTTTTGCTGGGAAATAAATTCTTTTCAATTTTTTGGCACACAAAAGTGTTTTGGGGGGCTTCAAATGATTACAAGGAAACCATTGAAGCTTTGTGGAATGTTTTGACAATGGTTTTGATTCCTTTTCTGAACTTTGAATATTTTGTTGCTGTCTAAGAGAGCTCTCTGATTTAATCTAAAAAAGCTTTCAGGGGTTTGAAATTACATGCTGATGAGTAATTAATAACATCATTTTTGTTTTTGGGTAATCTAAACTATTAATATAAAGAAGTAAGTAAATGTTAGATATAAAGGAACCGAGACACAATAATGCTGAGACTTTTTGAATAGCTTAAAAGCACATGCTTGTAATAATAAAAGCATATGCAGAGCAGGAAAGCTTTTAATGGAAAGGGATTGTAATGCCCAGACAAACACACTAATGAAAAACGACAAGTATAATGACAACAAGAACATGAAGGAAGAATGAGATTTTACTGAAGGCATTTGTAAGTGGGACAGCAGAGGAGATTCTCTTAAACCCACTGAGGCTAGCTGGAGAAAGAGTCAGAGGGAGATTGTAAAGCTGTAATGAGGTCTCCAGGCCAGGGATGAGGTTAAATTAGTAGTATGAATGTATTCCCCCCACGTCCTGCACCATTATGTGTTCACAAGCCTCGTCCAAGAGAACAATTTGCTCAATCTCTTTAAAAACATACAATTATCCTGTAAAATGGAGTCAACATGTTGTGTAAGACGTCTAGTTTGATCTGGATGAAATGTTAAACAGCATGTCTATCACAATCTAGTCTCTTAAAGAAAAATGCTAAACAACAAACAAAAGGACGATGTTTGGTTCTAGTATGAAGGCCATCATATACGTAAAGTGAAAATGAAGAATGTTGGTGTGACTTTAAAAGAAATAAGGCTAAATGATTCATCAATGATGATGATTGTTTCAGCGAAACAGACTGTCAAAGCAAACTTTGCTACTCCTTTGTTGATGTTGAAATCTTCTCTTCATTTCCTCAGTCCGTCGAGGTCAGACATCCACGAGTAAAAACATAAACGCCAAAGAGCAGCTTTGAAGTGAAAAGAAAGTCTTGCTGAAAGCAGCCCTGACAATGTTTTTCATGTTTAATAATGCAAAGCTGCTAGATTTAAAGCAATTTACTGCCTATATAAATAAATGTTACATGACTTTACTTGACTGGATCTGGACCTTACTTTTATACAGTCCTGTTTTATACTGTAATGTCAATGAGTTTGTCAGTTACTTTAAGTCTGAGTTTTGTCGTGAGCACTCCGATTGCTGCTCTCCGGTGATTTGAAGTGCATCTTTTATCCTCATTTGTAAGTCGCTTTGAATAAAAGTATTTCCCAAATAAACAAATATACACTACCTGCCAAAAGTCTTGTCGCGTTTTAGTTTTAGAAACAACAAATAAAATTCTGACTTCTAGTTGATCATTTGGTATCAGAAGTGTCTTATATGAAAGTCAAAGGCCTTCAGATTACACTTATTTTACCTACGTAAAATATGATCATGTCTTGTTTTTGATTATTATATTAGGACAGTAAGCTCTGACTTTGCTTAGACAAAATTCGTGTCACTTAACAGAAATAATGTACAGTAAAGAATATAAAGTCATTGTGCAGTGGAAAAATTATGAATAAAGTGTATGACTCCCATGAGCCTGGAGGACTGCATCAATACATCTCTGCAATGACTCGAGTAACGTATTAATAAAGTCATCTGGAATGGCAATGAAAGTGTTTTTGCAGGACTCAGAGAGTTCATCAAGATTATTTGGATTCATCTTCAATGCCTCTTCCATCTTACCTCAGACATGCTTAATAATGGTCATGTTTGGTGACTAGGCTGGCCAATCATGGAGCACCTGGACCTTCTTTGCTTACAGGATGTGGAGGCTGAAGTATGTAAATATGAATTTGCCCTCTCCTGTGGTTTGTAATGTAATGAGCAGCACAAATGTCTTGATACCTCAGGCTGTTGATGTTGCCATCCACTCTGCAGATCTCTTGCACGCCCCCACTACATGTAACCCCAAACCATGATTTTTCCTTCACCAAACTTGACTGATTTCTGAGAGAACTTTGGGTCCATGTCGGTTCTATTAGGTCCTCTGCAGTATTTGTGGTGATTGGGATGCAGTTCAACATAATTCATGAACAATCTACCTTCTGCCACTTTACCAAATGATCAACTAGAAGTCAAGTTATTATTTGTTACTCTTACAACTGAGATCGACGACAGGACTTTTGTCAGGTAGTGTATATGCACCTCCTCAGTGTAATTGAGCACATGACAAGTAAATGACTCTTGACAAATCCACATCTCTTCTTTCAGATGCTTTCTTATAACTGCAGTTTTCTCGATGTTGTCATTGTAGTTGTGTTCATTTTGTAATTGAAAGAAAAATGTGCAGCATATTTTTGGACATTTAATATCTGTGAATTTTGTAAACGAAAAAAGTTTTAAAGCAAGTCCTACAGCAGACAAAATAAATAAATAAATAAACAAAAAAACAGAAAGCAAAAAAGTAAAGACATTGTATAGAATTGAACAAAGGGTTTAGTCCCTTTATTAATCTGAGGTCACCACAGCGGAATGAACTGCCAACTTATCCAGCATATGTTTTACGCAGCGGATGCCCTTCCAACCGCAACCCAGTACTAGAAAACACACATAGACTACGGCCAATTTAGTTTATTCAAATTCCTTACCTGATTCACCAAGCTTTACTCATTTGACCATTACAAAACTTTTAGGCAGCAAAACATGCCAGAAAGCATGTGAATGGTTAAGTATCATGTGCTAAGAGTAAAACAGAGAACACTGTTTTAAAATGAAAACACAGTAGTGTAAACAACACCTTAGTGTTAAAGTTGCTACAAATCTGTTTGTGTTTCTTCCTTCTATTGAACAAAAAAGAAATACTTTAAAGCAGTGGTCACCAAACTTGTTCCTGGAGGGCCGGTGTTCAACAGATTTTAGCTCCAACCCTAATTAAACACACCTGAACAAGCTAATCAAGGTCTTACTTGGTATACTTGAAACATCATGGCATGTGTGTTGAGGCAAGGTTGGAGCTAAACCATGCAGGGACATCGGACCTCCAGGACCAGGATTGGTGACCCCTGCTTTAAAGAGATATGGAAACTAGGGGTTCTAACATGATGACGAGCTAGACAGGCGTACAGCTCAATGCTACACAGATTGCCAGAATTTGAACTTTAGGACACTTTGAGATATTCAATTGAAGAAATAGCCTCAGAGTTCAACCGTGGTCACAAAAAATATTGCTTCGCCATGGCAAATCGAAGAATTACAAGGAAGATTGCAGGTACAACTGAGGAAAATCCTGACGACCACGAAACAGTAGCACCAAGCTAACATGTGAAACTACAATAAACAACTAAGAGAACGAGGTGATGTGCAGATATGAAACACTTTTCACATTTCAATTCGAAGGGGTTCTGAATACTATTCAACAAATAAAAATTAAAACTCTGAATCTGGAGGCAGATTATCAGAGGCTGAACATTGAATTAGCAAAACCGAGGATAATGTGGAAAAGCTACAGAAAACGGTGGATGTTCTGGAAAGTCGAGTCGTAACACTCAGAGCGGACCTGGATAACTTTGAAAACCTACCTGAAAAAGCGGTAGGGACGGACTGGAAAAGTGACTTAACGATGTGTTTGGAGCATCTGCTTTTCCGAGCCCAGTAATTATTGAAAGAGCGCACAGAATGCTGGAAACTGATACTATATTTTTCCTACTATGGAAGTCAATGGCTACGAGTTGTGTTCATGTGTTCAACGAAAGAAAGAACATCTTAAAAGTTTGGTGTCATCTGAGGGTGAATGAATCATAAATAAACTCTCATTTTTTCCCCTCCTGATCTCACACTGCTCTACTTTAAGGACAGTCTGGGAGGGGCTTTTTTACCTCCTTTCCCCCCAATGTGTCTTAATTCCTCTTTTCTATGCTAGCTCTCTTCTGACCTGTCTTCCACTAAAATGTGTGATGTTTGTGTATGATCGGAAGGGTCCAATTTCACTGCATGTAAAAGTGACAAATAAAGGCTAATCATCATCATCATCATCATCATTTGAGGCTGAACAATCTCTTAAATCTCAAACAATCTCTTAAAAGCAACTGCTCACCCCCAGTTTCCTGCTCCGCATGCGGACATAGCCCTGCTTGACAATGTCATTGAAGTTGGAGGCCATCTCTGAGGAACCGGCGAACTTCTAGAGTGAATGAAGGCTCGCATCCAGCCCTTCGGTTTCCCCCTTCAGCCAGTCCAACCAACCCTTTCCCTCCTGCTTTTACTTCTTCGTTTCTCTTCCAGTTTTCCTCGATCCCGTCTGCTCTGCAACTTTACATCCAGAAGACCTTCTAGATCTTCAGACCAGGTGTTTCTTCACTCCTTCATGACCCCTAAGAGATGTGGAAAAATAACACATACAGTATATATTTGATTCATTGTGTGTGCAGACACAGACTATTTATAACAGATTATGCAGTGATTTATTATTATGCAGTGATTTTGATTTGGCTGAAAATCTGCCCCACTTTCCGTAAGAATATAGCCTGTGTCGACCATTTTTTTCCTGGAAAATGTCAATGATAAATTCAAGAGAGTGAGTTAAATAAGCATTAAAGTTGCATATGAAACATCTCTACCCAATGGCTGCTTCAAATGTCCTAATGGCCTAAATTAAAATGCATTTGGATTGCAAACATTATTCCCGCACTAAATAACTCAAGGCTCGTTCTTTAAAGGATGACCATGATTAAATATATCAGAGTAACAGACTTGAAACTTTTTAGACAATCCTTAAAGGAAATTCATCCAACAACAACAACAACAACAACAACAACAACAACAACAACAACAACAACAACAACAACAACAACAACAACAACAACAACAACAACAACAACAACAACAACAACAACAAAACATCCCTGTCTTTAAATTACATATATATAATAAAGGCCAGTAGGATGAAATGTAGTTTATACCTATGTGCCTCAAGCTATTTTATCTGTTTAAAACTTGGTATGATTATTAAAAAAATATGCAGTATTATTAACTCTTAAAATGGCAATAAAGTTCTAGGATTGTAAAAAAGTTAATGAGTTTTAAATATAAAGAAATGTATTATAACCATGTTAAAAACAGCAGTTCTTGAGGGAAAATAAAGAAAATAGAAGGGAAAAATATTGTTTTATTCTCAATTATTTAAAATCATCTTTGAAGATTGCTGAGGCCTTAGGTGGCATCTGGAATGCTTGTTTAGAATCACTAATGTAATCCTCACTCAGTTTCTACTGTATGAGCACAAGGTTGAACTATTTCTCAAAATATTAGTCTAGGTATAGAGCAACATAAGGGTGAGCAAATTAGCTTTTAATTGCCTTTAAAATGCCTCTCACTCAACCTTCTACAAACCTTCACTTTATAAAAAAAAACAAAGAATAACTGCTGACTTGTACTAAGAAACAGAGGCACAGTTTGCTAAACCCGCAATTTGGAATGAGAAGTTTTTAAGCATTTATAATAATCCTCTGAGCTGCAGCCCTCGGGCAAAAACCCGAGAGATGCTTCGCTTGTAAGAGCAAAACTAACAGCATCATCATCAACAGAAAAGCTCGACATGGCACACACTTAAACACATATCCATAAAAAATATATATGGTTTAATGTAATAAAACAAGCATCATACACTGAAACACAAATTCAATTTAGTAATGTTTAACTTCATTTGTTTGTTTAAATTTAGCCCAAATGAATTGTTTGCAATCACTTAACTTAAGAAATATGGAATAAATAAATAAGTAAACAAATAAGCAAACAAATAAATACATAGAATAATTAATAAATACAGACTTTCATATCACTGTCCAGTTTTTTCCGGACAGCGAGAACCATGATCCTTTTAAATAAATAAATATATAAAAACAGGAATATAAATCCATAAAAACATGTTTAGATAATACAAATAAATAATAAATAAAAACACATATTAAAATAAAATAATGAATACATTAAGAAAACACAATTGTTGAGGGGACAAAAGAAATAGAAAAAAAACCCCCAAAGCAAAACAACACACACACACACACACACACACACGCACGCACGCACACACACACACACACACACACACACATAAATAAACATATATAATAAATAAACATATATAATTTATTTATAATAATATTGTATAATAAATAATACAAATAAATCAAACACAAATATTAAAATAAATATTAAAATGAAATAATGAATACATAAAAAAAAATATTGTTAAGGGGACAAAAGAAATAAAAAAAAAACAAACAAAACAAAACAAACGAACAAACAAACATTTATAAACAATACAAATAAAATGATAAATAAATACATTGATTAAAATTAAATAATGAATAAAATAATAAAACAACAATTGTTAAGGGGGAAAAAGAAATAGAACAAAACACATACACACCTTTTCCAGATTTTTCAACACAGTGGGCAAATGGGTTAAAATGAAATAATGAATAAATAAATAAATACAAGAACAGAAATAAAAAAACATGCATAAATAATACAAAATATGCAAATAAATGCAATTATTAAAATAAAATAATGAATACATAAAAAAACGACAATTGTTGAGAGGACAAAAGAAATAGAAAACAAAACAAACACACACCTTTTCCAGATTTTGCAAGAAAGTGAGAAAGTGGGTTCAAATAAATAAATACATAAATAAATAAATGAATAAATCCATACATTAATTAACTAATTAATTTATCAATAAATTGATGCATAAATAATTTCACTCTCTAGGTTTGCCAAAACTGTGATAACCTTGATTATTTTAAATAAATACAGGAATAGAAATCCATTGAAAAAATAAATAAACGTATAAATAATACAAATAAATAAATACAATATTTAAAAATAAAATAATGAATACATTAAAAACATAATTATTGAAGGGACAAAAGAAATAGAAAAAAACTCAAAAAACAAAACAAACAACAACAACAAAACATACAAACACCTGTGAGAAAATGGGTTCAAATAATTTAATAAATCAGGAATCCATAAATAAATAAATACATGTATAAATAATAAAACAAACAATAAAGCAACTACAATTATTATAACATTTATTAAAATGAAAATTTAAATATATTAAAAAAACTATTGCTGAGGGGACAAAAAACAGAAAAACAAACCAAACACACACATTTGTTTTGCAGATTTTTCTAGAAAGTGAAAAAATGGATTGAAATAAACTAACAAACAAATAAATAAATAAAACACACAAACGTTTCAATTATTTCATAACAATAATCCTCTGAGCCCTTGGGCCTGATAACTCTAAGACACTTGTAAGTACAAAACTATCAGCATCATTATCATCATGAGGCTCTGAAACAACAGCTCGACGTGGCACACACTTCCCCACAAGAGAGCCGGCGTTTAAAACTCTTGACTGCAGTGGAACACAGACATTAAACTTTAACAAGGAGCTCATTAGGCAGGACAGAGCCAGGCTAATCGTCGGCGGCGCTGTTGGTTTTAAAAAGCGTCTCGATCAGGGAAGGAGGGGCCGTTTGCTCCACTAGAAGATCAGTGAATCATAATGCCATTATTATGTGCTCTCATGACCCTGCTTCAAAAGCCCTTGTCAGAAGAGTGAATGCAGAAATAAAGATAAAAGGCAGAACAAGAACAGTTGAGGAAGGATATGAGCGGTGGAAGAAAAGGCTTTTTGAGAGGACCTCTCATAATGAAGGATCAAAACAAACCACAATAGTCTGAAAATCAAGACGTTAAGTGTCAGCCGGGGCTCTTTGTACAGACAGTTTAGGGCAAGACACTGCAGGTGAATCCGGTAAATAAAAGAAGCTAATAGTTCTCACCATGTCTTCCCAGTTGATTGATAGATACATTAAGAATTAAAACATTGTTGTGGTATACCTTTAGTGAAATGTCATGTTCAACATTCAAATCAGGCATATATTTATTAAATATGTGCTGATTTCCCTACATTTCTTGCACAAAACTGATAATAAAACCTACTGGATTAGATCAGGCTGAAATTTCAATCCAGGCTCATTCTGAAATGTACCACTATATACATTTCTGGAGAGCAGAATCCACCAGAGGCCACTGTGTATGCTTTTTGAGATCTCAAATTTCTCTCACAAGTGCCATTTGCACCTGCTGTTCTCGCGTAAATCCACCAGAGACTGCTTTTGACTGACTGAATGACTGACTGGCAAACTGACAGAGCTTTTTTCAAGCATTGTGCTAAACTAAAGCCACGTTTTACGAACATAACTCTTAGCCCTCCTATACAGCTTTTACATTCAGAAAACATACGTACATTTCATACATATCGCCTAAAAATACTGACATTACAGTATTACATATATTAACAACTTTTATTTTTGAAATTTGAACACATTTGCAGGTACAGTTGAAGTCAGAATTATTAACCACCTTTTAAATTTTTATTTCTTTAGAAATTTTTTCCCAAATGATGTTAAACAGAGCAAGGAAATTTCCACAGTATGTCTGATAATATTTTTTTTCTTCTGAAGAAAGTCTTCTTTTTTTATTTCGGCTAGAATAAAAGCATTTTTACATTTTTTTAAAAGCCATTTTAAGGTAACATTTTTTAGCCTCTAATTACCCTATCCTGCCTAGTTAACCTAATTAACATAACAAGCTGCATGATATTATACACAATATGAGATATTGTTGTTGAGTATTGCAATAATGACTTCTCATGACATAACATTTTCCAAAAAAAAAAAATAAAATTTAGTTTTGTTAGCTTTTTAAAATTATTTATTTATTTATATACTGATAATAAAATAAACAGGTAAAATACATTTGTTTTATATGTAATTCATTTTAATTCAGACTAAAAAACGAGGTGAAAGTGCAACAAAGTTTTATTTTAATAACAATGAATGAATGAGTGAAAACAGAAAACGGCACATATTCTGACTCTGAATGGCTGTTGCCATTTTCCTCTCTCGCCTCGACTCTGCATTGTTTATTTTCAGCTCTGGGTTTACCTTTGGGCTGCTCCGGCAAATAGCAGAAAAGCAATTACAGGGGGGGTGGTGATTAAGTTAGTATCAGATTGGACAACTTTAGATAAACAACCAATGCATAATTAAAAGTATTTTTATTATTGTGATAGCGATAATTTTGAGATGTAGGTTGTGCAGCCCTAGTAAAAACTTTTTTTAGCAGTAAGAACTCTTCAGCAAATATTTAAAAAACAACAAGCTAGAGAGGCAAACAAAATTGCTGTTCAGTCTACAAGATGGTAGATGTAAATGTAGTCATCGTATTGTACACACAATACATACAGCGGAGAAAATAAGGATTGAACACTTCACCATTTTTTATCAAAACA